AAATTAAAAAAAAAATTTATAACCCCTTTCTATTTTATACTTTTTATATTCTTTTATAATATATTTTTTAAAAATTTGAATTATCATTAAATTGAATGAATTGTTATTGACAAGATTCGAACCCAATATTTTAGAGTTAGAGACTGATACTCCAACCACTAAGCTACTAGGAATTTTTAATAAAAGTTTATAAATAAATTATATTTATATACAAATAAAAATATATATCCATGTAAATATATAAATATAAAATATATAAATACAAATACAAATATATATATATATATATATATATATATATATATATATATATATATATATATATGTTGGATGTGAGGGTGCGCTCGAGGTTGAAAGTGTGTCGAGTGAATTTTTAAAATTTGATGTCAAATTTGTGAGCGGGTCTCTTTATATGAGTTTATAATTTAATGACACAATATAATCTTTATAATTTATTTATATAATGATATAAAATAAATTTTTTCTTTATTTATTTTTATTTTATTTTAATTTATTCTTCTTATATATTTTCTTCTATTATTTAATTAAAATTCTTATATTAAAATAATTTTTTTCAATATTAAAAATAATTAAATATTTATTTTTAAAATTATTTAATTTAACAAATTATTATAAATTAATCTAATTATGATTATTAATAGAACAATTTTTTCCTAACATATATTATTATAAATTAATCAAAATCATCTTTTAATAATTATTTTTTCCAAACATAGATTAACTCATAATAATTTGTTAAATTAAATAATTTTAAAAAATAATTTTAAAAATAAATATTTAATTATTTTTAATAATGAAAAAATTATTTTAATATAAGAATTTTAATTAAATAATAGAAGAAAAAAAGAATAAAATAAAATAAAATAAAATAAAAATAAATAAAGAAAACAATTGTTTTATATCATTATATAAATAAATTATAAAGATTATATTCTATCATTAAATTACAAATTCATATAAAGAGATTCGCTCACAAATTTGACATCAAATTTTGAAAACTCACTCGACACACACTTTCACCTTCTAGACGTGATCCTCACATCGAACATATAAATATATAAATATATCAAAATATATAAATATATTTGTATTTATGTATTTACACGGATATACATTTATTTGTATATAAGTATAATTTATTTGTAATTTTTTATTAAAAAATTCTAACAGTTTAGTGGTTGGAGTATTAGTATCTAACTCTAAGGTACTGATTTTGAATCTTATTAGTAATAATTTTCTTAATCTGATTAAAAAAAATTGTTAATAAGAGAAATTATATATTTTTGTGGAAATTAGAGCAACTAAATTGTTGTTATGGACTAAAACCCAAAAAGTAAATAATAAAAAATATAATTAAATAAAAGAAAAACTATATACTTTTGCATTTTTATTTTCAAATATTTTTTTTTATGAAATTATTTTTAATTAAAATAATTAAAGTGATATATATATATATACATATTTTTATTTTTATTTTTTTAATTTATTAATATTATCAAATTTTAGCTTCATGATTAAAAAAATACCAATAATTTAAATTTTATTAATTCTATAATTTAATATAATTATTATTATAAATTTAATTCTCCAATAACTAATAATATTAACACATTTATTAAATTAAAATTCTTTATTTTAATTAATTATTTTGATTTTTTTACAATTTTTTAAATAAAAATGATAAAACTTAAAATTAATTTCTAACTAAATCTTCACATATTTATGGTTAATAGTATATTATATTATTATGTTTAATTAAATTTTAAAATAAATTCACTTGATCTTTACACTTTTATAAAAATACTAATATAAACTTAAAATATTTATCCAATTACTAAATTATTTAAAATATTAATATAAATTTGAAATATCAATTCAATAATTAAAATAATTTTAATTTTTTTATAAATACATTGAAATACTTTTTTATTAACATAAAAGTAATATATATATATATATATATATATATATATATCAAAAAGAGACTAAATTAATAATTAATTTAATAATTGATTATATATATATATATAAAAGAGATTAAATTAATAATTACTTTAATGATCGAATCGGTGACTAATTTAATAATTAATTTTAATTTTTTTATTCACATACTAAATAAAAAAATAAAATCAAATAATTATATTACTAAATTATTTAATAAGTTAATATACTATTTCTTAAATTTTTTATAATGTTATTAAAAATTTTATCAATTATTTTAAATTATTAAGTAGATTTATATTTAATATATTATTAAAATATTTTTAAAAATTATTTATATAAATAAAAAATGGTTACTAATTTATATATTATTTGTTTAGTGACTGAAATTTTAGTCACTAAATCAGTCACTATATATAAAAAGAGAAATCAGTCACCAATTCAGTTACTATTAGTAACTGAATTTTTCGGTCACTAATTTCGATCACTATTAACCATTTTTCTAGTAGTGACCGAATCAATGACTGATTTGGTGACCGAATCAATGACTGATTTGGTGACCGAATCAGTGACCGATTTCCGTGACTGAAATTTTAGTCACTAAATATAAAACGGAAATCGAGCCACTGATTCGAGCTACTATCGATGACTGAATTTTTCAGCTACTAATTTTGGTCACTATTAACCATTTTCTAGTAGTGAGTATGGGATATGGTCTCTAACATTCCTAAGTCAACTGAAGTGAAGATATGCAATGTACCTTGTCATGGACATTCCCATAATTGGACAAAGAGAAGCATATTTTGGGATTTACCATATTGGAAACACAATTTATTGAGACACAATTTAGATGTTATGCACATAGAAAAAGTTGTCTTTGAAATTTTTTTTCATACTGTTATGATACCAAAGAGAAAACTAAAGACAATGAGAAGGCGCGATTGAACTTGGCATTGTATTGTAATAGAAAAGAGTTATTATTAAAAACAAATCCTAATGGGAAATGTATAAAGCCTAGAGCCAATTTTTTTTATCAAACAAACAAAAGAATGATGTGTGTGAATGGGTGAAGGATTTAAAGATGCCTGATGGATATGCTTCCAACATTTCTAGATGTGTAGATACAAAATGTACAAGAGTATATGGGATGAAAAGTCACGATTGTCATATTTTTATGGAATTTCTTCTCCCAGTAGCTTTGAGAACTCTTCCTGAACCCATATGGAAGCCCATAACTGAGCTTAGTCAATTCTTCAGAGATTTATGTTCAAGAGTGTTACATGAAGATCATTTATTGCAAATGGAACAAAATATTCCTATAATATTATGTAAGTTAGAACATATATTTCCACCTGCATTCTTTGACTCTATGGAACATCTACCAATTTGGCTTTTGAAGCTAGGATTGGTGGACCCGTTCAGTATCGTTGGATGTACCCTTTTGAAAGGTAACATTCTTTTATACCCAATATCATTGTCCAATTCACCAAATAATTGATTACATTTTTTGTACATAGGTTTCTAAATAAAATTAAAAAAACTGTGAAGAACAAGAGAAGTGTGGAAGGGTCCATTTGTGAAGCATATTTACTACAAGAGACATCTTATTTCAGTTCTCATTATTTTGCACCTCAAACTTGTGCAAATGAGGGAGTTCATGAAGATAATACAGAGCTAACATTATCCATCTTTAAGCCATTTGGACAAACGACAGGAAAATATAAATAAAGGTGGCTTATTGATAGAGAAAGGTTGGTTGCCCAATTGCATGTTCTTTTGAACTGTAATGAGGTTAAACCGTTCATTGAGTAAGTGTCAAATATTATATAATTGTCAATTTTAATTAATTTAAAAATAGTATTATAATTTAATTATCCTTTTTTGTAGTTTATATGTACAAACTTTGAAAGATACCTATGGGAATCTCAATGATGATATCATTGATAAACAAATAAAAGTTGATTTTCCACGATAGTTTGAAGAATATGTAAGCTTTGCTTTGATTAAGGAAATTAATTTGATAACATATTTTATTAATTTATCTAATTACAACTTTTATTTGAATAGGTAAATCAGAATCACCAACTTAGGTTACAAAATTCAAACTTCTATGACTTGGCAAAGGGACCTTTGAGGATAGCAAAGTTGTGGCCAATTTATTTTGTGAATGGGTACAAATTTCACACAACATCATGGGGTAAAGGCAAAACAACATATAATAGTGGAGTATGTGTTAGTGGAATTGGATAAGGTGAAACATCAAGTGATTATTATGGTGTTCTTGTAGAGATATTAGAATTGGAATGACCAAGTCAATCACAAAAAAAGTTAGTTTTATTTTATTGTGATTGGTTTGATCCTTCAAACCATGGGATGAGAACACATAAGCAATATAAGATTGTAGAGGTAAGAAAAAGAAGAAAATACAAAAAATTTGATCCTTTTATTTTTTCCAAAAGCTGCAACTCAAGTTTACTACTCATCTTTTCCTGGGCGACAAAAGGATAAGGTTGATTGGATGGTAGTTATCCAAAAAAAACCAAGGGGACTTGTTGATGATAGACATACTTTAGAAGTTGCATATCAAATTAATGAGTCACAAGTTAATACAATAATTGAGGATGACCTAATTGACCACCTACAAGAAGATGATGTTGTTGGTGAAGAGGTTGATTTTGATGTAACATTCATTGAAAATGAAGATGAAGATTTCATGCAATACGTAGAAGAAGAAGAAGAAGAAGATGAGGATGATGATGATGACGATGATGGAAGTGAAGATTTAATGGATGAAGAGGAAGATGGAAATTAACATTAAGAGTACATGATAATGTTATCTTATTATTACATTCTAGTATTGTTGACAATATTATTTACCTTTTGAGATTATAAATGTGATATGTTTTTCTTTATGTGTCATAAAATATATTTTTTGATTTTTTATTATGATACTTAAAAATTATATGTTTGATTCTAAAAGAGCAATGCAACCCACTAAAAGGATGAGGAGAAAAAAAATGCACAAACTCATATACCATTTATACTACCATCAACCAACCTTGAAGCTTATTCCAAGCAAATAACTCGGTCTCTACCTTCATTTCGATCACCATTTCGACCTCCATTTCCAAATTTATCTCGACCTCCACCTTCATCTTGACCTCCACCTTCATCTCAACCTCCACCTTCACCTTCCCATCTATCTCAACCTCCATGTCCACCTCCTCCTTCATCTCAACCTCCACCTTGTTCACCTCGACCTCCACCTTGTTCACCTCGACCTTCATCTTCACATCTATCTCAACCTCCACCTCCTCCTTCATGTCAACCTCAACCTTGTCCACCTTTATTTCGACCTTCACCTTCACATCTATCTCAACCTCCATCTCCATCTCCTCCTTCATCTCAGCCTCCACCTTGTCCACCTCTATTTTGACCTTCACCTTCACATCTATCTCAACCTCCACCTCCTCCTTCATCTCAACCTCCACATCCACCTATATATCAACCTCCTCCTCCACCTCTACATCCACATAGGCCCTCCCAATATCAATCCATCCCTACTCAACAGGTCTTTCAAATGCATGATTTTCAAGTGGCAAATGAAGCTTCATCTTCTTCGTCTAGCCATGTTAGTGGAGACAATAATAGGAAGAAAATCTTAATACTTCCAGAAGGCGATGGGTAAGTAACTCTTTTAGTGAATTATTTTAACTTTCTTAACGTAATATAATTTTTATTGTCTTATATAGGTTTGATCAACATAAGTTGGTAGTGGGGACGATTGCTTCAATCATTCGCTCTAACTTAAAAGAGGCAAAACCATCATGGAAGAAGTTATCCATGGATGAAAGGGAATCTTGGTTTGATATATTCAAAGTATTTAATTTTTAAATTTTGATTAAAAGATTTTATTTATTTTTGGAAAATGTCTCTAGTATAATTAATTTTTTTTTTCATTTTTCTAAAAAATAATGTAGTCAAAATTTTCTTGGCCACCTCAATATAATGGCATGGTACGACATAACTTTGAGAGAAGAGGTGCATCTAAAATGTCTCAATTAATGCAAGATGCTATAAAAGATCTAGAGAAAAAAAACCCATTTGGATGGGAGAGAATGTGTGGGGACAATTAAAGACACATTGGGAATCTACAAGTTTTAAAAATAAGTCTGAAACAAATAAAAGAAATCGGGTAGCTTTGGATGGTGCATCTCTTCATATAGGTAGATCAATACTTCATCACTTACATTGGAAGAGAATGATATTATTACTTTACTTTGTTTTTTATAATTTACATTTTAGAATTAATAACATTAAACTTTCTTTGTTATCAGAAAGAGGAAAAAGGAATAGACCCATCATTGACTGAGTTTTATTTTCGTACACATCGGAGAGAGAAGGATCAAAGTTGGGTTGGTCCTCATGCCAAAATTGCTTTTGTAAGTTTTCAATTTGATAAGCATATTGGTAGTGATAAGCACATAGTCAAATATGAAAGTAGTTATCTATTAATTAGCTTTGCATTTGGGTCAAATATGAAAGTAGTCAAATTTCTTTAATTGATTGAAGAATTTGGAAGGGACCGAACTTTATGGCTAGAGATAATCAAAGTTATGTAAAACTGCTATTTCATTTCTTTATTTTGAAAGAATGATAAAATATTTTAAAAAATTGAACATTTTTCACTCATTTTTTTTATTTATATATTTTCACTAAGTACCTTTTCATTTGCAGGAGAAATTTGAACAAAAGAAAAATGAGTTATTAAGTTTTGGGGAGGATGCAATTGATGGTGAACAATCCATGAGCCAAATGCCATCAGATTTGGATATATGGATTGATTCAATTGGAAAAAATAAGGAAAGAATATTTGGTCTTGGATCTCTAGGTAAAATGTTAATCATATCTTCAACTAAGAGGTCAAATTCAAGCCTTAAATGAATCATTACATAGGCAAGAACAAGAAAAACAAGAAATGAGACAAGAGTTACAAAGACAAAAGAAAGATAAGCAAAAAATGAAAAAAGAGTTGACTGAAACTAAGAATCAAGTAGCAGCCTTAATGCAATACTTAGGGTTTGTTACATCTTCTTCTTTACCATCTTCATCATCTCAACATAGCAATGAAATGATGATGATGAAGACAGTGATCATATTGAAGATGGTAATATTTAAAATTTTATTTGAGTTATTATAACACTTAACTTAATTATTGAAGGTGATAATGAAATTGCAGGGAATTAAAGATATGATATGATTTTGACAACAACAATGATTTGCTTTGATGAATTTTTTTACAAGGTTTTAAAGTTTTGAATTATTTATATTGTTTTGACACTTTAATATTTGAGTTTAGTCATTCACACTTTTTCATTAAAATTTCAGGATTAAAGATTTGATATGATTCTGACAATGACAAAAATTTGCATTGCAATTGTTGGTCTTTTGTTATTCAGATTACCTAAGAAAGATCATCATGCAGGGAAGATCTTTCAAGTCTAACAAGGTTGGAGATATTCTACCAAAATTTGTGCAAGTAAAAATATATTTGTAAGTAATTATAGATTTAGATTCTTAGTTAATTTTGAACTCTTGTTATTGTTTGCTATAAATGAAATATAAAGTACAGTCTTAAAATGAATAGTAGTAGTAATACATTAATTTTAAATAATAATATTGTTTGCAGGGAATTTGGTGAACTTTTCCAGCCAGGTGTTGCATCATTTCTGTTTTGTAACTTTTCGTCTATGTTGCCCTTCTCAGATTAATACGGACCAAATTGCTTGCTCAATAATGGAGAACATAGTTATTTTGAATACCCAAGAACTCAACAATGCAAGGGAACAAGGTTCTCCGTATAAATGAATCTCATGTTTCAAGATAATCTCATGTTTCCAAATATTGATAATTTCATTTCATGCATTTGTGATAATTACATTCATATAATAGTATTTTACTTTGTTTATGTTTTATCTTATAATTCATAGGGATCATGTTGACGTAAGACTAAATAATTCTCTTAAAAAACATTTCACGTTAATTTTGTTTTTAGCTTAGTTTTTTAGTCGAATAAACAAATAAATTTTCTTTTATAATCATTTAATTATGTAATAAAATATATAATAAATAGTTTTTTGTTAATTTCATATATATATATATATATATAATTTTAAATCTATACAATTTTTTTAAATGTTTTTTAAAAAAATAACCTCATAAAAAATTACCTACGAATTTAAAATTAGCAAAAAATTTCCTGCAGTATAAAATTACCAAAAAATTATTTGTAAATTTAAAATTACTTACAAATTTGAAATTGGTAAAAATTTACATGGAGATTTAAATGACAAGAATTACATATAGATTTAAATTGCAAGAAATTATATACAAATTTAAATTTGCAAAAAATTACTTACGATTTTTTCACAACAAATTTTGTAGAAAATTTATGTGATTATTAAATCCCTAAATAATTTATTATCCACAAGCTAATTAGTGCTAATAAAAATTTGTATGAAAATTCGCAAGAAACATATTTTCTGTGAATTTTTACAAAAATTTGATAAAAAAATTTGATAAAAATTAAAAATTTCTAGTAGTGACACTCTACCTTGGTCCACTTCATATTTGGCATGCATAAAACAAGGTATCATAGCTCATGCTATCCACCAGTAAAGAACATTTACATTCAAGCTAATCCTTGTGGCTAATAGGCTGATAACAGTCAACTTATAGTTATTGGCAAATTCATTTGCTGTTGGGTGGGTAGTGGCTATAATTGGTATAACATAAACTAGAACTAATAAAATGTGAATTGGTGCTTTATGATATTTGATGCACAATAACACGCTTTGACTTTGATGTAACATGATTAATTAAATAGACATCGAAATAGTAATTGGTGAAGGCCCCACTCGAGCCTCTCTTCCATTCGTTACCATTCAGAATGGCTGGCACTCGCACTCCTGCACCATTCTTCCTTCTAATTCAAGTTTTTATTTATTATATATTCATGGACAATTTAAACTCAGAACTTAATTAACCATTAGTTGCAACTCGTTAAAATGATTATAATGTGTAGCATAGATAGATGGTGACAAGGGTATGTTGAGAAAATGATATTAAAATATATTAATGTAATAAGTATATATCTCTAGGCCTTAATCGTAAATAGTACTAAATCACAAGGTTTTTGTTAGATTATATTTGGCATTTTACTATAATTTAGATAAAATTATAGTTACATTTGAATAAAGCTTTGTTTTTTGTCATCAAGTATGTTGGCAACTTTTGCAGATATTTGAAGTCTAAATGCATGTCTTTGGGATAGTGTCGTCTTTTTCCTTTTGTGTCAAATGAAAATGGGAGGGAGGAAAGAAGGTAGAGGAATGAAATTTGTGAACTTATTTTGTATTATGCTATGGTATCAATATTTAGTGACAATTTCCATTTTCCAGGCTTTCCTCTCTCTTATTGTTTCTCAAGCAAAGGACTTAATGATGTTCCACTAGTCACTATAACCAATTACTCATTTTTCTGGTCTGGTTATTTCTTGTGGAAAATTTTGATGTTTTTTTTCCATCCATGAGAGCAACAAATTGGGTTAGCATTTTGTTATTGATATATTTTGATTTGATTTGGATGTCTCACTGTTTTAATGACTATGTTCTATATACATTTATTTTATTACATATTAAGGTGAGCTAGAAATCCTATATGACTTTTAGAAAGCAACTCTATTTTTAAGCAGCTTTATAACTCCTGTTGAGTATGCCTTATATTCTTCACACTGTTCATAAATTGATTATAATTGGAACTAAATATTTTCAAGTAGCTTTTTAACTCCTATTGGAACTAAAATGGAAGGGTGAATTGATTATAATTGGTGTTGAGTATGAACGTAGAGGAGACTTATTGATCGGTTTCATAAATATCTTGTGCTTCTTTTGTGTATGGACTTATTGGATCAATAAATATTATAGAATGATATTTCGTTCTTTGCATTTTATGTTACGTTAACTCATACTTTTCTACTGTCCCAATTCAATATTGTTTAGAAGTCCACACTCTTTTAATTCATTTATTTAAAAAAAGATGGATAATTTTGGTTTATATTGAATTGTTTACATTAGTGAAATATTTCGAATAAATTCTCCCAAGTTAATTGGTCAAAAGAAGGTGTGTCTCGTGTGTAATGTATATTTTATGTTTTATTTTTCTTTTAAAAATAAAAAGATTATTAGGAGCATGATTAGAAGAAATATTTCCTTCTCATCCTCTATTTTAGATTTATTTAGTATTTTCTTTTTCTAAGTCTTTTATTTATTTTCGCTTCCCTTTTATAGATTTAATTTTTGCACCTATTTTTTGAAGAATATTACATCTTTTTATTAGAAAAGAAGGTTTGGATACATAGGATATATATGTGGGCAGCCCAAAGGTATATGATACTCATTTTTCATGTTCTACACTTTTT